ATCTCTGGTGTTATCACCACGCACGGGCGCACACACACACACACACACAGAAGTAACTTTGTAATGGATGGATTGCACAGTTGGGTGAATATAGATGGAGCCTATAGATGGATGTCTTAATTAGCTTGATCACAGTGATTATTTCACTGTGCCTACGTATACCTTAAACATCATGCCGTATACCTAAAATATACAATTTTTATTTTAAAAAATAAAAATAAAAATGGTTATAGAGTGTTTCAGGGACAAATATGCTAATTTCCCAGCTTTAAATTTTTTTTTAATGTTTACTTATTTTTGAGAGAGAGAGAGAGAGACAGAGAGTGAGGGGGAGGGACTGAGAGAGAGAGGGAGACACAGAATCTGAAGCAGGCTCCAGGCTCTGAGCTGTCAACACAGAGCCTGACATGGGGCTTGAACTCATGAACCGTGAGGTCATGACCTGAGCCAAAGTCAGACACTTAACTGACCGAGCCACCCAGACACCCTCCCTTCATGTGTGAATTTTAGATAGCTTCACTGGACTGTAGTTTGGGTTGTCCTATGTTATTAGACATATATTACACAGGAAGACACTTTGAGAAGGGAAAAAACATTGTCTGCCAATCATGCATGATAAAATTTTGTTGCTTATAGCAATATTGGGTTTTTCAATAGTTTCAGTGGATAATAGACATTTTTGCATTTGAAATGGCTAAGAAATTGGGGGCACCAAATATATCGTATCCAGGAAAACTTTATTTGAGATAGGGATTCGGGTTTCCTGTAAATCCCATGCAGCCTTCTGATCTCTGCTAGAAATACTGTCAGAAGTCAGAACGACAAAAGCATGCTTTCTCAAAATCGGGCCACATGTCTCTTGACATGGAGCCATCACATGGAGCTTAAGAAAAGTCACTGACACATGCATGATTTACTGCCTTTCTTTTCTGGTTCTGCTAAGATTTCTGAGGGACAGCAGTTTACGTCTCTGCCCTGATGGGTTGTTTTGTGCCTTCCCTGGGGACAAATACCCACCCAGTGAGGACGCTGCTGTTGCCATTTAGTAGTGGTTTTCAGGCCCCTATCTTCAGATCAAGTATAAGGCTAGACACATAAGATGTCTATTTGAAAGTCAACAGTATCAAGTGATTTTTTCCAGAAACACAGGTGCTACAAAGGTGATGGCAAATTGTAGTTTTGTTATTGTAATTTCAGACTTCATGTGAATTGTCTGTCTTTTATTGGGGTGAAAGATTCTCAGTGGCATCTATAGCTTACTCATTTATAATGGGGCCTTGAATTTACGTAGCATTACAGTAACCAAGAATGGCACATGACATCCAGACTGAGAATCTGTGGGCACTTTATCTTTAAGAATGGCAACATCTTAAAGTTGGGGCGCCTGGGTGGCTCAGTTGGTTAACTGTCTGACTTCAGCTCGGGTCATGATGTCGCAGTTCGTGGGTTTGAGCCCCATGTCGTGGTCTGTGCTGACAGCTTGGAGCCTGGATCCTGCTTCAGATTCTGTCTGCCTCTCTTCCTCTCCCGGCTTGAGTCTCTCTCTCAAAAATAAATAAACACTAAAAAAATTTTTTTTTAAAAGAATGGCAATGTTGGGGCACCTGAGTGGCTCAGTCAGTTGAGCCTCTGACTCCTAATTTCGGTGCAGGTCACGATCTCACGTTTAGTGGGATTGAGTCCCACATCGGGCTCTGCATTGATAGTGCGGAGGCTGCTTGTGATTCTCTCTCTCCCTCCCTTCTCTACCCTTCCCTGGCTTGCGTGTGTGCTTTCTCTAAATAAATAAATAAATAAATAAATAAATAAATAAATAAATTTTTAAAAAAAGAACGGCAATATTAAGATAATGGACTCACTTTTTCGATGCAGTCTAAAGACTGCAGACTATAGTGCCTAATAAAAAAAGAAATAACGTGCATAGTAATTTTTAAGAACATCGAGAAATAACAAATTATCCCTGGAATATTCCTGTGTTTGTAACTACCATGTTAAATTTGATCAGCAGGGGACCAAAAAGGTCCTTTCCTCACAAGTATTCTCGGTTTTTTTATTAACATGGCCAAAAAAAAAAAAAAAGAAAAGAAAAAAGGACTCTAAGTGTTGTCACAGAGCTTTGCTATGGACTGGAACGAACGTGTTTCCAGGAAGGAGGCAGTATCCTGCAGGGCACAGTGTTGACCCGAGGGAGAGCCGAAAGGGTTCAGGGCAGGGTGAGGTAAAGGAAGGGCACACACGGAGTTACTCGGGGCCCCATAAAACACCCTGTGGCTCCCGGGCCGGAAAAGCCCCTGTGTGTGTTGTGTTACCATCTGTTGAAAGAAACGTGTCTGCGCGTATCCCAATGACCGCCATGGGATTTTGTTTTTTGTTTTGTTTTGTTTTGCTTTGACTAAAGCGTGGGCTTCCTTATCTGGGACATCACACCAAGTCGTGTACTCACGTTCTTTTTCAGTCCCACCTCTCTGTTTTTTCTCCCCCCCTAAATCACTCTGATTAGTCCCGTCCACTGAGGTTGGAAATTATGAATGGCGGTCCTGATCGTTACTTTCTCTTCACAGCTCGGCTGATGGGTAAAGTAAGATTGGCATTCAAATATACTTTCAGAATACATCCAGAGTGCAACCCTTTTACTTCCTGCCCAAGGCACTGTCCTGCCCCACCTGGCTTAGGGCAGTGGACCCCCAGAAGGCCTCACAGCTGCCGAGAGCCACCAGACAGAGCGTGTCTGATGAAACCAAAGTCAGAGGCCATTCCCTTGCTTAGAATCCCCCAGTGGCTCGCGAGACGTGTCCTTCTTGGAAACAGACTCATCCTGTCTGTAGCATAGTCTGCGAGGCACTGGGTAAGGCAGTTTATAGATGCAGTGGCTCACAAAGTTTTCTGATCCTGTGCCCTCATCACCTCTCCAAGCCTCTTGCACGTTCCTTGGCTTCTAGCAGCCCCCACCTCCAGGAACCTGAGCACTCTTTCCCCTTGATCTTGCTCCTGCAGATCTTTCCTCAACTTTCCTCAACCTTAACACCCCGGTCTTCCATATCTACCCCATTTGATATCACCACCTTCCCAATATTCCCTACCTCCCCTAATAGACTGTCTTTTAGAGAAGTTTTCAGTTCAGAGCAAACTGAAGCAGAAAATACAGAGAGTTCCTGTACATTCCTGTTGCCATACGCACAGCCTTCCCCCCATCAGTGTCCCCTACTCGTGTGGTGTGTGTGTTACTGTCCATGAACCTAAGGGACCCATCATCATCACCCAGACCCTATAGTTTACACTGGCCTCACTCTTGGACTGAACATTCTGTGGATTTTTAAACTTTTTAATGTTTATTTTTGAGAGAGAGAGAGAGAGAGAGAGAGAGGCAAGTGGGGGAGGGGCAGAGAGAGGGAGAGACAGAATCCAAAGCAGGTTCCAGGCTCTGAGCTCTCAGCACAGAGCCTGACGTGGGGCTCAAACTCACGAGCGTTGAGATCCTGACCTGAGCCCAAGCTGGACGTTTAACCGACTGAGCCACCCAAGTGCCCTGAACATTCTGTGGATTTGGACCAATGTGTAATAGTGTCTTACACAGTTGTCTCACTGCCCTAAAAATCCTCTCGTCTCTGGCCTTTGAACACCCATCTTCTCCCCACTGACCGCTGGCAACCACTAATCTTTTCCCTGTCTCCATAGTTTTGCTTTTTCCAGGATGTCATCTAGTTGGAGAGATACAGTTATGTAGCCTTTCATCGGTTTCTTTCACTCAGGAATATGCCTTTAAGATTCCTCCCTGTCTTTTCATGCTTGATAGCTCATTTCCTTTTAGCACTGAACAGTGCTTCTGGTTTTTGTTTTTTTCTTCCTATCTAGTGCTCATCATCATCTCAATGCATTTTATTTGACTCATTTGTTTTTTGTCCGGAATTTCCCCTCCCCCCTGCCCCGACACCCCCCCCGGGGGGGGGGGGGTTCTATTTTGTTCTCTGCCATATCCCAGTGCCTAGAACAGTGCTAGTGTGCTAGATGCTAGATGCTCAAGAAATATATGTTGAATGGAAGAAAAAAGATATTTTCCAAAAGGTACAAAAGTAACTAAATGTATCTCCATTCATATGACACCACATAATATATAAAGTACGTTTCTGTCTACACAAAGGTCATAGCTAATGTCTTTCAAAGATGTTATCTAAAATGCTTGCTTAATCCAGACCCTGGGATGTAGTCAGACTTCTGCAGGTACTTGATTTCTATAAAAATGTGAGCTCTCTGAGAGCAGAGATCTATCTTGCCTCATTTGCCACTATATTCTGGGCACCGAGAATAATGCCTGGCACACAGTAGGTGTTCCAACGATATTTATTGGATGGATAATCATTCTATCTCAACGTATTGACTTTCTTATTTAATCATTTGTTTTATCTATCGAGTAGGTGGTTTTAGTGAACCAAAGAGATGTTTAGTAACAGTTTATTTTTGAAGTAATGACTTAAACACAACTGTAATTTGTTACGGTGTTTGGTCCAAACTCAAGCATGATTTACTGCTATCATCTGAAAAACTAATATTATTTCATCTTTTCCATGGGTGTTACTAGTCTGTTGGTTAAAGCAATGTCAGGAGAAAAAAATGTTTATTTATGTGCACATGTTTTATGAATGTATCACATGCTAAGGGGTAACGACAGACAGATGAGCAAATGCTTCAATGGCTTTGGATTTTGAATGGCCAAAGACTATTCAATTTATTAAATTAAAGATAAAGCTAAGTAAAATAGTCCTTTTAGAAAATAGATGTTGGGAAAAAAAAAAAAAAGAAAATAGACATCGAAAGTCTCCAGAAAGACATAAAATAGGAGGGTTATGTCCTCTTCTCCTGAACCAAAAAACAACTAAAACAAGAGAGTCTCTGTTCTGTTGAGGAAGTATGGAAGGATCTACTTCATGAAGGAAAAAAAAAAATACAACATCTCTGTGGATGAATATAACATATGGTGAGTGAGGAAGTTCTTATAAACTTACCCATCATTGTTAACATCTGACACTGTGACTGTATATCCAAAATAAGATGCCATCTGTGAAGGGAAACCAGAAGATGACATAGTTTATGTTCAAAAATAATTTTTATAGTCCTCTCTCAATTTTCCCTGAAGGATGAATCTCATTGCAGCAGACTTTTGCAGTGCATTCATAGAGTCCTGGACATGGACAGAGTCTTAAAGTCATTTAGTCTGATCCAACGCATAATTTCCCTCTCAGTACCTCTGACATCTGCTTGGACATCCTCTGCAGATGTTCAACAATCCACTCATTCAGTCTGTGGACACAATTATTAGAATTTTCTTTGCAAAACTGGCCGCTCTGTGACTTCTAGTCCTTACTCCTATCTATTTCTGCAATCTTGAACCTCATAGAATAAGTTTAATTCCACTTCCATATGAGATTTCATATGGAGATATTTGCAGCTGGTGCACCAGCTTCTTTCTTAGAGTTACTACATGTGATACCAAAGAACAGATGATACCCCATGAACGCACAGCCAGGAGAAGCCTTAAGTAGGATTTACACTCTTTGCTTTGGGTTAAATCACTGAAATATAAAAGTGGGTTTAATTTCAAGGGAAATCATGTCTCAGTCAGTATCAATTCACATTGAGTTTATTGTCCACTAAGGTTTCTAAGTCTCTTCTAAGTAGTGTGCCACAATCTCTCCACATTTTAGCTCCTAAGATGTTGTTTTTCAAGCTATGTTTTCAACATTTACTGTCTTTTCAGATTTGGCCCATCGTTTGAGCTTGTCAGGATTTTTTTTCGTTTCCATATTTCGGCATCGAGTGCTTTAGCTGACTTAGTCTCGCATAATCTACTAATTTAATTAGTCTACATTCCACGAGAAAGGGTGCTCCACAGAGGGCAGACTTTGGTCTGTGTTGTTCACTCTTCTGTCCATGGTCCAGCTCAGAGTAGGTGCCAGATACTCTTTGCAGAGGGACTAAATACATGGGTTAACAAGAGTCACTCAATAGTTAACGTCTCCTTCCTCTTTTCTCCCCTCCAAACATACATGGTTGCTAGAGACTGAATGCTTGTGTCTCTCCCTTCCCCCCCCCAAAAAATCAAATATTGACCCTAACCCCCAATATGACGGTATTAGGAGGTGAGGCCTTTGAGAAGTGATGAGATTATGAGGGTGGGGCCCTCATGATGGGGTTAGTGCCCTTATAAAAGAGACCCCAGAGAGCTCTGAAGCCCTTCTTACACCATCTGAGCACATAAGACTATGGCCATGTATATGAATCAGGAAGCCAGCTCTCACCAGATACTGAATCTGCCTACCCCTTGATCCCAGGCTTCCCAGTCTTCCAGAACTGTGAGACATAAACATTTGGTTTTTTTTAGCCACCCGATCTGTGGCATTTTTATAATAGTATTCTAAAGACTAAGATACAGGTGCCAGGTGCAAAAGGCTCTTGGCAGGGGAACAAATGCACGAGATAACTGTGCAGTAACTCAGTTCTCCCACCTCACTTCTCTATTCCAACCATCTACAGTGAAATTCTACTCCTAGTGTGGCACTGTGTGGCCTTCGCTCAGAGGAATTTCGTCCCTCATGCACTGAATTCTGAAGTTCAAGACCGAACAGCTAGATGGTATGGAGGGCACGAAGTTATAGACAGGCCAAATTTAATAATATTTAAAGACCTTCTAATGATAAAAATGTGAAACAGAGCTGGGCAAAAGAGAAGTCTTGCCACATTTTCAACAAACCATTAAATATCATCACTTGAGAATAGTTAAAAAGTTGTAAGTTCATCCAGGTTCACTATTGTCCCAGCCTTCCGTCTCCATATTTACCATAACAGTGCATGAGAGACATTGCCAAACACTTTGTTGAAAACCACAGAGTAATGGATAGACTAAAGCCCCAATTTGGGGGGAGAATACAAAAAATGTGCCATGCTCATTAAAAAACTCTATCAATCAAAATTGCTTGACAATGACATTACTGCAAATCGGTATCTCTAGCTAAGAGGGGAGCATCTAAGGATCTTCAACCATGATCCAGGAGGCCAAGATGTAACTTGGCCAGACTCTAATGTGAGGCTTCCTAGAAATTCAGCAGTGTGGGTTTCTGGTTATGGGCTGCCCAGAGAAACGGATTCAACTCATGATGGCTCCCTAAACCATATCACATTCATTGTTTAAAGAAATGTGCCAAATTTCCACAGGTCACAGTAGCCAGGAAACCTCAGGGTGGTGAATGAAGTATGACCTCAGAGAATGACAGGCAATTAAGCTTTTCTTAATAAGACCTCGGCCAGTAACAGTGGGTGAGGAGTGATATCTGGCCCCTGGAAGGAAAGGACCAGAACCAGGTAGCTTGTGAACCCCCACATAATGTTGCTTTGGGTGGAGGCTCCAGTCACAGTGAGGAAGAGAGACAGAGTACAAGCCCATTGATTCCGACTGATACAGTGAGACCTAGGAGAAACCTTTGTCTTCTCAGAGGGAAGGCATATACCTGGAACTCACCACCAAGCATGCTCCATACAGGACCAGAACATAACAGGATTGCTCTCAGATCCTACCAGTTAGCGACATTACAATAGGAGAGCTGGGATCCTGTCTGTCAGAGGCATGGTTATATTCCCAGGGCCCGCAACAGTTCCTAGCACATAGTAGGTGCTCAGTAAACATTTGTTTTATGAATGAATAAATGGTATGAACATTGCAATTTACTATGAGTACCGAGTGACATTATTTGATATTAAAAGGTCTTCACCTGTTCACCAGTGAAATTCTGAATAAAAGTCATATCTGTAGAGTTAATGATTGAAACCTGAAATCATAGAAATGAGATAGGTTATATCATTTGACAGAATTGGAGAAAAAAATCCACATTTTAAATTATAACTTATATCAGTTTTAAATTTGGGGGAAGAGTGGTAAACAGTTAATGCTATGTAAAACAAAAATGCAATCCCGTAAGAATGAGCTTTAAAAAATCCAACTGAACTTTTATTTATGGTTAAGTCTCTGACATTCTCAGATAAAATGCATGCTTAGTAATCTGAAAAGGGAAAACAGAAATTGAATTCAACTGAATGCTCACAGCAATTAACCTGCTGGCCAGTTAATTCACCTAATTATGATTTTTATCCAAATTCATTTGTGTTTATGTTATGAAAAATTGATGATTATGGCTCTTTGCAAAAAAAAAAAAAAAAGAAAGGTTAAAATTAAAAATGCTATCCAGATAGCAAAAATACTACTTTTAATTCTATTCAGATATTACATTTACTAGGGTTTTAAAATAATAAACATTATTTAAAACATAACCTTTTCTGTTCACAAGGTGTCTTGATTTTCTTTTCCTACTTTTGTGGTAACTAGCTCTAATGGGTTTGAATGGTGTCCCTCCAAAATTCACAACAACAGAGTTTCATAAGGTGACCTTATTTGGAAATAGGGTCTTTGTAGGTGAAACAGGTTCGGGAAATTGAGATGAAGTCATCCCAGATTTCGGGTGGGCCCTATGTGCAGTGACTGATGTCCTCTTGAGAAAAGGGGAGGACACACAGACACGGCTGGAGGATGGCCGTACGAGGCCAGGGGCGGAGACTGAAATCGTGCTGACATACACCAAAACCAGGTAGTGGCCACCTCAAGCCAGAATAGGTAAGAAAGAGCTGCTAGATGCCCTGCAGGAAGCGTGACCCTGCCTGACGCTTTGATTCCAGACTCTGGTCTCTTGACCTGTGAGAAAATAAATCCGTGTTGTTGCAAGCCACCCAGTTTGTGGTCTTTTGTTGTGTTAGTCTTGGGAAACTAACACACTAGTGCAATAGCGATCGATTTTCTTATTTCTGTCGTAGGAGCCGTATGAAAATGCTCAGCCTGTCAGCGACAGTGTCTTCTGCAGTTTGTCCTAGATTATGCACAAGCATCATGCTGGCTTCATGGGTGGGGACCTGTGCTCTGGTCCCCATGTTCCAATGGGCCCCACCCTTGGTTTAATGCCCAGCTGGTGCTCTCCTGAAATTCTTAATAATTTGAACAAAGGGCCCTGCATTATCATTTTGCACTGGGTCCCACAAACTATGTTGTACATCCTGTACATAGATCAGGAAAAAAAAAATCTAGCCTCATTTGTTTTTCTTCCTTTTTAGTAAGCAAGCAAGCAAGCATGGATCTGTAGGGGCTCACGATTAAAAGACATGGTAAGCCACTTAAAAGTTGCATGGAAGAGGGGCGCCTGGGTGGCTCAGTCGGTTGGGTGTCCGACTTCAGCTCAGGTCATGATCTCACAGCTCGTGAGTTCGAGCCCCGCGCCAGGCTCTGTGCTGATAGCTCGGAGCCTGGAGCCTGCTTCGGATTCTGTGTCTCCTCTCTCTCTCTACCTTCCTCTGCTCATGCTCTGTCTGTCTCTCTCTGTCTCAAAAATAAATAAACATAAAAAAAGTCGAATGAAAGGGAACATTTCTTTGCATGTGGAAGAAAATATTGTACGATGCATTCTTAGTACTCACATATCCAAAATTCTGGGCTCCTCTTGGAACTCCAGCAACCAGCTCTGGGGATAAAAATATTCATTTAGAAGGGGAATTACATATATTTTTAAGCCACCCAACAAATGAGTTAAAGAGAGTGCTTTTTACGTGAGTAACCATCACTTGAGGAGCTAGAAGTGTGAGGTCACGGGTTTGCATTTTGCTTCTGCTACAGACCACGGAAAACAGAACAGAAGTCGTCCTGTGAGATTTCCTAGCCTTCACCACCGGTCTCCAATGTGTTTCTGCCTGCGTAGCAGAAGCCTGACTTCTCAGCTCTGCAATGTGATTCGTAAGTTAAACCTCTGAGTCCGATTTCTCCAGCTTTCACTGTGGTGACATCTTTTGTACTAGTGTGAAAAGTACAGCTTCTGTCACCCTCACATGGCAAAACAAGTTCGGTTACCTAAAGAAAAGCCATCATAAATGATACGAGTCTGGCCCCCTTGCAAGTGTTTGTTGGCAGCAGAATTAGCGGGTGACCTGGCAGCTTAGGGTCCCCCAGAAAGGAAGCGTCGGTAACACAAACAGAAGAGGCAACTGTGGGGAGAAAAGTCCATATAATTCAGGGCATAGTGATCCGTCTCTAGATTCAGAAGACAGTGGTTCTATTCTTGGGTCTGCCATATACCTGGGATGAATCATTTACCCCCACTTTTTCTGGTCACCTGCAGTAGTGTGGGAGTTGGGACTGGCTGGTTATCAAAGATCTTTCGGCTCTTGTTTCTACAAATCTAAACTATCCTTTGATTCATCGGGGTTACCTTTTAGTTTAATTTAAATAGGAAGGGCCTGGAAGAGAATCCCCTTCTATTTAAATTCCCCTTCCCCTCCCCGGCCGTGGAAGGTCTGGCACGAGTTCTGGCCTCGACTACATCGGATGTGCTGTGCTCTGGCAGAGTTGGGTGCTCATGCTGTTAGCGTGAACAATCAAAGAAGGTTCGTTTGGGGATAGATGTTGGACTTTTCAGCCATCAATCCACTCATTCAGTCAACAAACATGTATAGGCAAATGGAGTAAAAAATAGTGAGCACATTGGACAAAAATGCCCTGCTCTCACGGAGCTCATGCTCTGGTTGGAAGAGACAGTCCACTTAAAAAACAGAGTTGATGAAATGGCATATTTGAAGGGGGTGAATACGGTGAGTGGAGAAAAACCGAACAGTAAAATGGTACAGGGGGAAATGGAGGTGGGATGAGAAAGGACTTAGGCCTTATTAGGGCACAACTGGCAGGAGAGGACTTGGCAAGAAAAAGACATTGAAGCCAAAAATGAAGAAAGTGGAGATGTAAATATTATGGAGGTATTGGAAAAGTATGTTCTAGTCAGAAGGTATGGCAACTGCAAAGGTCCTGAGGTAGAAGTGTGTCTGGAGTATTCAAAGAATAGTAAAGAGACCAGGGTGGCTGGAGGGGAGGGAGTGAGGAGGAAAGGGGTAGGAAATGAGGTCAAAATCTTATGAATGGAGACTTTCAGGTCATTGTAAAGTCTTGGATTTCAGACTGAAGGAGTTGAAACATCACTAGATCAAAGAAGTTACGTGATCTGACTTCTGTGTCTAAAGGACCACTTTGGTTGCTGAATTTAGAGCAGACTACAGGAGGGCAAGGGGGGAGAGAGAGAGAGAGAGAGAGAGAGAGAGACCAGGTAGGAGGCTACTGCAATAAAGTTGGGGGACTTGAATCTGAGTACAAGCTGTGCAGGAGGTGAGAAATGGTCAGATTCTGGTCATATTTTGAGAGTTTCGTTAGCAGGTCTACTCATAAATTGGGTATGGATGGGGTGTGAGAGAAAGAGAAAGAGCACAAGGCTGACTTCCAAGGTATGTGGCTCAAGCAATTGAGAGGATGGTGGACCGTGTTCTGGGGAGAAGGTCAGAAGTTCGCTCATGAGCACATTAAGTTTGAGAGAACTACTCAAACAGAGATGTTGAGTACTGAATTGAGGTTCCAGATATTAGAACACATATCCCTGAACCTGGAATTCAGCGTCATCTGGAGAAATACCTGGAACCTGGAACTCAGTAGAAGCTGGAAAGACAATGAGACTGGATGAGGTTACCAAGAACTCAAAGAGGAAAGAAAGAATCCAAGTGTTTAACCCTGGGACACCTCAATGATACGAGAGAAATTAAAGGGGAATCAACAACAGAGAGGGAAGGGGGGAGGGAGAGGGAAGAGGGAGCTACAAGTGTCTGGGAAGCCAAGGGAAGAAATGAGGAGGGAATAATGAATTCTTTCAATGCTCATGATAATCAAGGAAGAGGAGGTGCATAGAGGCCACTGGTTTGCTTGACAGGAGCCATTTCAGCTGAGTGGTGAGTTGAAGACGAGAAGGCAGTAGATACAGCGGACAGAGATACAGCAGAGAAGAGTGACAGCTCTTTTGAAGCAGAGTCAATAGGTGCTTGCTGGAGGAGGGAGTGGCGTAACAAATTTACTTCTTAAGGTGAGAGAAGTATGTTTGTACAGTGGTGGGAATGATCCAAAGAAAATCATGATGTGGGAATGGTTGGAGTCCCTTCTCTGAGTCACGGGAGGCAATGGGGTGTGGTGCAAAGTGGAGAGGTTAACTTTACCCAGGGGCATGGACTGCTCAACCATAGCAATGGGAGGGAAGGTGAAGCATGTCCTTGAAGAATAAAACTGGGTTCAGAATAACTAAGCTATCTGGACAGATTTCCAGGAAAGCTATCAGAACCGGTCGCACGCTGCTCAGTTTTCAACAATATTTATTTGGCGTGAATTAAATTGGCATCTAACAACAAACCACCATCAAATATAATGGAGTTGACTGATTCCAGGATCAGGCCTGTCAACCAGAGGAGTCTGAAGGGACTATCCCATGACAACCACTACTAAGCCTTCTGCAAACCTTCAGAATTTCATTTAAAAGAAATCAACCATCACACTCAGTAACGTTGGAGTCTGTCACCCCACGTAGTCACAGCACTTAGAAGTTATTAAAAGTCATGTTGGGGGCGCCTGGGTGGCTCGGTTGGTTAAGCGTCCGACTTCGGCTCAGGTCATGATCTCACGGGTTGTGAGTTCGAGCCCTGCATCAGGCTCTGTGCTGACAGCTCAGAGCCTGGAGCCTGCTTCGGATTCTGTGTCTCCCTCTCTCTCTCTCTGCCCCTCCCCTGCTCATGCTCTCTCTCTCTTTCTCTCTGCCTCTCAATAATAAGTAAACGCTAAAAATAAATACATACATACATACATACATACATACATACATACATACATACATACATAAATAGAATGGTTTGGAGTTTTAAGACAAGTTGGAACTATCACTCAACTACAAAAATTCAGTTGGGAGAGAAAATAAGTGACTTTTCTCAGATCCATTTCAATAACTCATAGGAAAACCTTCAAAGATCTCTTAATATCCGTGCCTTGAAATACATGACCTGGGCATCAACCCCACCAGCAAGAAGCAAAAAGGAAGCTAGTGTTTAGCGAATGTTTTCCACCCACTAAGACAATGTGCCACAAGCTTTATAATATTTCCATAATTTAACCTCTAAAAAGTAGGCATTCATACCCCTATGGACGTGTGGAGAAAATAAGGCTTAGAAAGGTTCAGTCACTGTACATAGTTGGTGAGCAGTAAGACTCAAGAACTGAGAGCCACGTCAACGTTTTTTCTACCACACCAAATGACTTTCCTAGGATTGGTTAGGGCCATATCACTTTTTTGGTTTTAGCTCACCACGTTGGACTCTAAAACAAGAACCAAAGATCTTAACCTTTTTTGAGTCATGAACACACTTGGGAAATAGATGAAAGTTATGGATCTTCTCATTGGAAAAATTCATATATATATAAAACCTTGCATATAATTTCTAGGGGTTCAAACCCTGTGAAGTCCATCCGTCCCTGTACCACCCGGAATACAAGGATCCCACGTTAAGGGCTTCTAATCTACAGTACATCAGGTCACTCACTAGGTTTCAAAGAACTTCAACTCTTTCCAGTCTGCTTACGTAAGTAGTGAACATGGGCAGTCTTGGACTTGGTGTGGTCTGATGAATGGATCCATTCTGATGAATGGATCACTCCCTGATAGTGCCTTTACTTTACATATCATTTAAAACTTGGATCCATCTTCTAGATATTTCTCTGATCTAATGGAAAACCACTATGATTTCCTATCATGCTTCCCTGTGATGTGCTGTCATGCACCCCTAATAATTTCCTTGGGTCAGGACTGAATTTTCTCCTGGGGAACTTTCCAACAGGAGTTTAATGCCATGTTTAAAATCATTTGGCATATTTTACAATTTCCTTTGCTAAATCACTGAGTGATTAGAAGATTTGACTTTTCTAAGGTACTAGGAATTTAATTTTATCTCTGATGGACTCTATCCCAAGAATTCTTTCTCATTATAGCTAATATTTAAATAGTATTTGTTACGTATCAGTATTATACTGTTTTATGAATGTAGGATTAGCTCACTTAATCCTAAGAATCCTATGATCTAGATGGTACTATCATCTTCATTGTTATCATCATCAACACCATCATCCTCCTCCTCAGCATTATTACCATCATCATCATCACCAACATCATCATCATTACCATCACCACTATCTCTCTTTTAGAAATAAAGAAATGGAGGCACTGAGATGTTAGGTAACTAGGTCACAGACCTGGTAGATGGCAAAGTCAGGGTTGAAACCCAAGTGGTCTAGCTCCAAAGTCTATGCTTTTAACTACCACAACAGATTGTCTTTTAAAATCTTGAAGAAAAAAATGTATGGAAAGAGAAAGCCTTTAAGAATTAGCTTGTATTTAGGGGTGCCTGGGTGACTCAGTTGGTTAAGCATCCAACTTTGGCTCAGGTCATGATCTCATGGCTCATGAGTTTGAGTGCCATGTTGGGCTCTGTGCTGACAGCTCAGAGCCTGGAGCCTGCTTCAGATCCTGTGTCTCCCTCTCCGCCCTTCCTCCACTTGTGCTCTGTCTCTCAAAACTGAATAAAGGTTTAAAAAATTAAAAAAAAAAAAAGAACTATCTTGTATTTAAAAGCAAAATATTCTTTTAAAGAAAAAAAAAAACCCACAAAACCTCTGTGTTCAATCCCTACCTCACTGCATAAAGAATGTTTTATTCTCTGTGAATTTCTGCTTTGTAAATCTTTTTGAGATGAAACAGTTAAAAGAGCTCTGGGGCGCCTGGGTGGCTCAGTTGGTTGAGCGTCTGACTCTTGATTTCAGCTCAGGTCAAGATCCCAGGGTCATGGGATCAAGCCCTACATCGGGCTCCATGCTGAGCTTGCAGCCTGCTTAGGATTCTCTTTCTCTCTCTCTCTCTCTCTCTCTCTCTCTCTCCCTCTGCCCTTCCTCCCTGATCGTTCTCTCTCTACAATACAATACAATACAATACAATAAGCTCTGATGATTTCCAGGGATGGCCCACATTTCATTTACTCTTAATTCTTTGTGAATTCGTTAAAACACACTAGTGAAAAGCAGTTAAGGTTCATATGAAACAAGATAGAAATACTGATTGATTGATGATTCATTCATTCAATAAATATTACCAGTCTTGTATATGATAGGTATTGCCAGGGACTGAATGTTTGTGTACCCCCAAAATTCGTATGTTGAAACCTAACCCTTAATGTGATAGTCTCAAGAGACAGGGCCCCTGGGAGGTGATGAGGTCATGTGGCTTAGATTAGTTTTATGTTTAGAACTTTATCCTCCCACTTACTACAATTGTTTATCAGGTATTTTGTGCTCGCCGTTTAATGCCTGTCAGCCCCACTGGGACTATAAACTCTGAGATTGAGGACCATCTGTTCGCCTCTGTGTGTTCAACATTTAACACATAGCCTGACACACAGCAGGTGCTCAAGAAAAACTGGAAGAATGAATGAATGGTAAATTCCTTAGGAGGGAGAAAAATGAGATCTTACAGGAGTTTACAGAAGGAAGTGAAAGAAGGAGATGACATTTGAAATTGTACTAAAAAAAAAAAAGTAGCATTTGACCTGTCGAAATTAGAGTAGCTACAGATTCAGGGGACGGAAACCAGAGATGGCAGCCATTATAAGGTATAGAGGACAGAGGTGAGGGGCATATATGAGAACAGGAGTTAATTCATTCTGTTATTTTGAGCTTGAGCATGTCCAAAGGGGAAAAGGAAATAATGTAGAGGTGTTGGGTTGGAGCCTGGGAGGGAGTTTAGTAGGGACACGTCCAATGTGAATGTCCAGAAATTAAAGATGGGGGATCTTGACTTTTCAAATGTGATCTGTCACTAATAGCATGGCTTTTGTGTAGGCCATTTTTTTAAGTTTTTTTTTTTTTTTTTAATTTATTTTGAGAGAGCTATAGAGAGCAAATGGGGGAGGGGCAGAGAGAGAGGGAGACAATACCAAGCAGACTCCCCACTGTCAGCCCAGAGCCCAATGTGGGGCTCAGACTCACAAACTGTGAGATCATGACCTGAGCCAAAATCAAAGAGTTGGACACTTAACTGACTGAACCACCCAGGCGCCCATATGTGGGCCATTTAATCACCTGTATTTTTCTCATGCATAATATGGGATTATTGGACTTGTTTTTTATTGCTTAACTCGATTTTATAACGATTGACATTCAGTATTATGAAGTTATTTAAGACTTAAAATGCTGTGCTGAAGTGTATTTTGGTTTGTTTTTCTACATAATATTATCATACACATTCTGGGATTCCATTATTATACATTTGTGTAGCAAAGAAAATCACATTTATAACAGGGCTTTTCAGGTCCTTTTACCTTTCCCCGTGCTTTATAAATGACTTAAATCCAATAATGTCTCTCACCTTGCTCAGAGTCTCCAGTGAATTCCCCAGCAGCAACTGAATATCCTGGGTTAAAGAAAAGGAAAACTAGTCACATGTTTGAAGGCTTTACAAATGAGCTTTATCTAGAAAAATGAAAGAACTGCCATAGTACTGCTTTGGTCAGAAATTTCAACAAATATCGTCACATAAAAGTTTAGGGTTCTGTAATGGGAAAAAACAGTGAAATGAACGCTTCCGTACTAAATCCTGGAAGCATAATCGATCCGCTTCTTCTGAACATGGCAACACAATCAGATTGTGAGGAATACTTCATCATCCCCCTTAAAGAGTAAATGGTGGCCATTGTACCTGAACGTCGCTGATTCATCAGGATCAGACATGATACTCGGAAAGTATCTTTTGTGCTCAACATTTGCTATTTCTGATCGCCAAGAAGGTATATTTCCTAATTTCTTTAATGATGGTTTTCCACAAATGTCACTTAGCTCTAAAGTGAGGTGAGGTGAAAAACATAACTGCATTTTGCTTCATTTATCAAGCAATCAAAATACCTGTAGGATACTAAAGGTGGGAAACAACCGTGGCACATTGACATTGTATGGTTTCCGCATAATACGTTTTGACAACATTCTAGCAACTGGAAGGTCTTTTGTTGTTGCTCTAAAAGCTGGAAAGGAGGGCCAACATGTTGCCCCTATAGCACTGGGCAGCCCCACTAATTCATAGTCTCTACAACTGGCAAAATATTTTATGTGCAGGACACTTTTACAGTTAGTGTTTGATTGCATAACTGGACACTACAGCCTAAATCAAAACATAGAAAGTAACCATTGAAATTCCCCCCATTAAATAAGAAATTGACTTTGGGGCTGAGGCCAATGTTTTATTGTGTGAAAGTCATATCCTTCTAGAGTAACTTACTGAAATTTTTAAAATAAAAAATGGTTGCTGAATTTGAAGCGAAAGTCTGTTACAGAGCCTATAAAATAGGCTGAACCAAAAGAGAAGACTTATATGCCATGGCTGAATAAAAGGAAAGTCCATTCTAAGCTAGTAAGAAAAGAAAATTTGCACAAGCTGCCAAAGAACAGCGGATAAGTGAGGAATAAAGTTTGCACCTACATTTAATAAGTTTGCCTTTTGAGAAACAACAAATGTGCTAAATAATGAATCTCACCAAGGTAACTGTCATCATAGGAAGCTGGAGCCACGTCTGTCTGTTTCTCTCGAGCCAATTTCCTTAGGATATCCTTGAACGAGTAATTCGCAATGATATCTGCAATACTGGCAGTGATCACCTGACCTGTGTCCAAACAAATGGATGCATTAGCTGAATGAATGCAAGAGGCAGGCCCTCTCTGAGCAGACACAGAACATCTGAAAAACACATACTCCCTTGAAAACAATAATGGAATTGCTTGCGTTTTTGAAGATGAATTTTCCCACCTGCTACTAGAACTGCAGGTAAAGTTGGTTATGGCTGGGTAGAGCCTTCCATTCTGACAGAAGAACCAAAGATCACTACATATTATTATCTGTCTTCCTGCTGCCTTCACAATACATACTCCCTCTACCTCCAAATGATAAAAATATCTGAGTAAAGATAACTGTAGGCAAAACTTATGGATTAAAATTTTAATCTGGAACATTGCAGATAGAAGAAACATCATCTAACTTGGAGATCATCTAGCCAAATATAACCTCATATGGGTGGGGAAACTGAGGCGCAAAGAGCACGAATGCATTCTCTAAGGTCATGTGGTTTTGCTATTACAGTATCTGGCATTACAAACAAGGTCTCCTTTGGCATTCTATTAAGACTTTTTGTAGTCTCACAAAATACAGATTAAATCTAGATACTTAATAAATAGATTATGAAATCTATCACTTATGTTAAAGGAAGGAAAGGGGTGCCTGGGTGGCTCAGTTGGTTATGCGTCCAACTTCAGCTCAGGTCATGATCTCACGGTTTGTGAGTCTGAGCCCCACATCGGGCTCTGTGCTGACAACTCAGAGCCTGGAGCCTGCTTCAGATTCTGTGCCTCCCTCTCTCTCTGCCTCTCTTCCACTTGTGCTCTGTCTCTCTCTCAAAAATAAATAAAATGTAAAAATAAAAAAAAAAAAAAGGAAGGAATTGCATAGTTTTTGAGCCATTTATTTTTTTATGGTAAAATGTATACAGAGAGCATAAAATTATGACAACAGGAGGCAGTGAGGTCCCGCGAGATCCAGAATTTTAGCAAAACAAAAAAACAAAAAAAAGGAATCCAAGGCTGGCAACAATGATAGGGTAAGAACTTCGGCTAATATCTCCCAAATAAAGTCACTATTAAAAGTCTTGAAATATGATTGTATTTGGGGTGGTCAAATATCCAAAAGATAGCCAGCTATTTTCCACAATTTCCATGCATTCTCATATTTATGATGGATATCTAAGGGAAAAGTGTGATCTCATTCTTTTTGGGAGAAAACTGGAGACATGCTTTTAAGAAACTTACATTTAATAGTAATTTTAAAGCCAAATGATTCTTTGGGACTTCACTGATAATTCATAGTCTTTCTGTTTGAAGTCCAAAAGGAGTAAAACTATCAAATCTGGCCATAAATATTTCCCAATGACTCTGCCTGAAATGACTGTTCTGATATTAAGACAACGATATTCACACATGTACTTCTGAACAATGTCTGTAGAATCTGCCAATTTTCTCTGGGTTAAGGCTAAATCCCCCCTTTCCTCCTCCTACATACACACTGCCTTTGCTTTTTTCCTTTAGTTGCTTCTAAAAACATTATAACCTTAAGCCTAAAAAGATTTTTACATTACCTATTACAGACAATGCTTCTATATCTCCTTGGTATGGGTACTTTTCAGCAAATCATCTGTATCAGATATTTTTTTTTTAACTTAAGGAAAGAAAAGAATTCTCTGAGTGAATTAGAAGCAAATCTTTTAAACACATACTTTTTATTTCATAACCACCTACTCCATAAATTATATTGTTTTTCAATCTGCAAAATAATTTTTAAGACTAAAATGTTAATTATTTGATATTCATAGTTGTACATGTATGAATTAAGCTTAACAGTAATTTCACATACCATTTTATCATAAACCCATATCCTAGATCTCTTCTTGGCTTTTTAAAAAGTGTGGTTTTATATTATTATATTTTTTTATTTTCACTACTGTGTAGTTAACATATAGTGTCATATAGTTTCAGGTATATGATACAGTGATTCTACAATTCTATACGTCGCACAGTACTTGTCAAAGTAAGTGTACTCTTAGTCCCCTTCGCCTATTTCACCCATTCCCCCGCCCACCTCCCAACTGGTAACCATCAGTTTGCTCTCTATAGTTAAGAGTCTGTGTTTTAGTTTGTCTTTTTTTTAACTTGTTCATTTGTTTTGTTTCTTAAATTCCATATATGATTGTCATCATGTGGCATTTGTCTTTCTCTGACTTATTTCACTTAGCCTAAGTGAAATATGATTATACCCTACAGATCTGTCCATGTAGTTGTAAATGACAAGATTTCATTCTTTTTTATGGTGAGTAATAGTTCATTGTGTATATACCACTTCTTTATCCCTTCATCTATTGTTACACAGCTGGGCTGCTTACAGAATTCAGCTATTGTAAATAACGCTGTAATAAACACAGGGGTGCATACATCTTTTTGATTAGTGTTTTTGTATTCTTTGGTAAATATCCAGTAGTGAAATTATGGGATCATTAGGGTAATTCTATTTTTAATTTTTAGAGGAAGCCTCCACAGTGGCTACACCAGTTTGCATTCCCATCAACAGGGCACGAAGGTTCCTTTTTCTCCAAAGAAAGGATTGAGGATCAACACTTGTTGGTTCTTGTGTTTTGATTTTAGCTATCTTGACAGGTGTGAGGTGATATCTTATTGTGGTTTAATTTGCATTTCCCTGATGATGAGTGACATTGAGCATCTTTTCATGTGTCTGTTGGCTATCTGGATGTCTTCTTTGGAGAAATGTCTATTCAGGTCTTTTGCCCATTTTTAATTAGATTATTTGTTTTTTGATAGTGAGTTGTAGAAGTTTATATATATACATTTTGGATACTAACACTTTATTACACATATAACTTGCAAATATCTTCTCCCATTCAGTATGTTGGCTTTTAGTTTTGTTGATTGTTTCTTTTGCTGTGCAGAAGCCTTTTATTTTGATGTAGTCCCAACAGTTTATTTTTGTTTTTATTTCTCTTGCCTAGGAAACAGATCTAGAAAAATGTTGATATGGCTGATGTCAGAGAAATGATGTCAGTGCTCTCTTCTAGGATTTTTATGGCTTCAGGTCTCACATTTAGGTCCTGGATCCATTTTGAGGTTATTTTTGTGTGTGGTGTAAGATAATGGCCAGCTTCATTCTGGAGGAACTAAAAAATACATGAAGAAAAATGCATTCATTCTTCCAGCATTCATTCATTCATTCATGTAACCTGTCCAGCTTTCTCAGCACCATTTGTTGAAGAAACTGTCTTTTCCCTTTTGGATATTCCTCCCTCCTTTGTCAAAGATTAACTGTCCATATAATCATGGGTTTATTTCTGGGCTCTCTATTCTGTTCTATTGATCTGTATGTCTATTTTTGTGCCAGTACCATACTGTTTTGAGTACTGCAGATTTGTGGTATAACTTGAAATCTGGAATTGTGATACCTCCGCTTTTGTTTTGCTTTTTCAAGATTGCTTCGGCTAATCAGGGTCTTTTGTGGTTCCATACCAATTTTAGAATTGTTTGTTCTAGTTCTGTGAAAAAAAAAATGCTGTTGGTATTTTTTTTTTTTTAATTTTTTTTTTTCAACGTTTATTTATTTTTGGGACAGAGAGAGACAGAGCATGAATGGGGGAGGGGCAGAGAGAGAGGGAGACACAGAATCGGAAACAGGCTCCAGGCTCTGAGCCATCAGCCCAGAGCCTGACGCAGGGCTCAAACTCACGGACCGCGAGATCGTGACCTAGCTGAAGTCGGACGCTTAACCGACTGCGCCACCCAGGCGCCCCAATGCTGTTGGTATTTTGATAGAGATTGCATTAAATCTTTACATTGCTTTGGGTAATATGGGCATTTTAATAATATTTGTCCTTCCAGTCCATGAGCATGGAACATCTTTCCATTTGTTTGTGTTGTCTTCAGTTTATTTCATCAGTGTTGTACAGTGTTCAGAGAACAGGCCTTTCATCTCCTTGGTTAAGTTTATTCCTTGTTATTTTACTATTTCTGGTGCAATTGTAAGTGGGATTGTTTTCTTAATTTCTCTTTCTGCTGCCTCATTATCATTGTGTAGGAATGCAGTGAATTTCTGTAAATTGATTTTTGTATCCTGCAACCTTACTGAATTCACTTATCAGTTCTAGTAGTGTTTTGGTGGAGTCTTTAGGATTCTCTATATATAGTATCTTGTCATCTGCAAGGAATGACCGTAACTTCTTTCTTACCAATTTGGATGGTTTTATTTCTTTTTCTTGTCTGATTGCTGCAGCTAGGATTTCCAGCACTATGTTGAATAAAAGTGGTGAGAGTGGCCATCCTTGTCTTGTTCCTGAGCTTAGGGGAAAATTCAGTTTTTCACCATTGAGCATGATGTTACCTGTGGATTTTTCATGTGTGGCCTTTATTATGGTGAGGTATAGTCTCTCTAAAACTACTTGGTATAGGGTTTTCACATGAATAGACATTGTACTTTATCAAATGCTTTTTTTGCATCTATTGAAATTATCATATGGTTTTTATCCTTTCTCTTATTAATGTGATGTATCATGTTGATTGATTTGTGAATACTAAATCACCCTTGCATACTGGGGATAATCTCGCTTGATTGTGGTGAATAATTTTTTAAATGTATTGTTGGATCTAGTTTGTTAATATTTTTATTGAGGACTTTTTCATCTATGTTCTTCAGAGATATTGGCCTGTTTTCTCTTTTTGTTGTAGTGTCTTTATCTGCTTTTGGTTTCAGGGTATTGTTGTCCTCACAGAATGAATTTGGAAGCTTTCCTTCCTCTTCTATTTTGTGGAATAGTTTGAGACTATGTATTCACTGTTCTTTAAATATTTGTTAGAATTCATCTGTGAAGCCATCTGGTTCTGGACTTTTGTTTGTTGGGAGGTTTTTTTTATTACAGATTCACTTTTGTTTCTGGTTATCAGTCTGTTCAAATTTTCTATTTCTTCCTGATTCAGTTTGGTACGTTATTCGTTTCTATGAATTCATCCATTTCTTCTAGGTTGTTCAGTTTATTTCTCCACCTTCATTTCTGATTTTGTT